GTCTATATATACACCGAGTACTTCAACAACATGCTTTTGTCTGTCTATATATACACCGAGTACTTCAACAACATGCTTTTGTCTGTCTATATATACACCGAGTACTTCAACAACATGCTTTTGTCTGTCTAGGTACACCGAGTACTTCAACAACATGCTTTTGTCTGTCTAGGTACACCGAGTACTTCAACAACATGCTTTTGTCTGTCTAGGTAGATATCTAGATCTACATTGTTTCTCCGAGTATTTCCACAACCTTGTGTTTGTTGGCACGGTGTACATACGTTGCTCCGAGGTTGTTGTAGTCTTGTCTCGTGACTTTCTGTCTGCCTGAGTCGTGTTGGTTGGAAGTTCGATTCCTTTGTCCTGTTCCCATCTTCTGTTAGGTCTACTCACCCCCCTCCCCCCTCCCCCTCCATGCAGGGCACAGTCGAGGCCTGTGACAAACTGGCGTGCTTCCTGTAGTGAGGAATACAGTATTTAATGTTTGTCTCACTCACACCCTCACTCCCACTCCCACCCCCACCCCCACTCTCAGGGTGTGCAGATAGCCAGCCCCCTAGGTCACTCCACGACACTGCAGTCCCTTTCTCTGCACGCGGGACCGACAGACTCGTGGAATTCCCCCGGGGTCGAGTTTGCTGAGAGTTTTTACGCCGCTTGTAACTGCATAAGGTCCTTATTGTGAGCGGGCGGGACTCAAGTTGGTCAGCCATAGAATTCCCTGGAGGTCTCCTGTCGTGGAATGACCCCCCCCCCCCCATGCCTGGGCATGGATGGCGGGTGTCTGGCGGGTGCATCTCGGAATAAATTATTGATGGTCAAGGTCGTGGAATTATCCGGAGCACTCAGCTACTGCTGCCACTGCTTCTTCTTTGTTGTTGTTGTTGTTGTTGTTGTTGTTGTTGTTGTTGTTGTTGTTGTTGTTGTTGTTGGGGTGCGATGGTGACGATGATGATGGTGATGAGGATGGTGATGAAGATGGTGATGGTGGTGATGATGATGAGATGGAAAAAAAAGATACCCACCTCCCCCAAAATAAAAATAAAATAACATAAAAGACTCCCCAAAAAACACAAAGAAATAAAAAGCGAAGAGAGCAGTCAGCCTAAGGGAAGTAAGCGTGTAGTGAAAGAGATCCGGCCTGGATAGAACATTAGACTCCCTTGAATAATTACAACTGTCACCACTGTTCATTGTTGCTCGTGTGTGTGTGTGTGTGTGTGTGTGTGTGTATGTGTGTGTATGTGTGTGTGTGTATGTGTATGTGTGTGTGTATGTGTG